AAGATGACAAAAACGATCTCAGCCATTATATTATTGTAACAGGTGTCCGCCAGTATGTCAAGAATCCAACTTATTTTCTACAATGTGTCCCCCGCTTAAGGATTGACCACCCTTCTAAAAATTTTATTTTTTAACCGATTCAATTCACCTCTTTTTGGTCTTATATCTACTCGAATTTGGCATTTATTAGGCTCATAATTTTATTTCTGCGGCTGTACTGGTGTACAGGGTGTTCACATTTATTTATAGGCTCAAATTTCAATAAGTACTATTAGGGATTTTTTTAGAAAAAAGTATGATAGCAGATTCTTGTTTAGAATGCTCTAAAACCCAAATGTACTGATTTTTATTTCAATATGATACAGGGTGATCACAACAAATTTTCAAAATTTATTAGACTAAACTGGAAAAATGTCATCTTTTGATGTCTTGAGAACAACAAAACTTGATCCAATCAATGTTCTAAAACTATAGAACATCCTCAACCAAAACTTGTAGTAAGCTTGTCTCAAAATATAACATTTTCACAGTTTGATTCATTAAATTGTTGTCATCACCCTGTATCGTATTGAATCAAAAATTAATACATTTGTGTTTTAGGTTTTAGACCATCCTAAACAAGAATCTGCTATCAGATTTTTTCTAAAAAAATCTCTAATATTTTTGCACCAATCAAAATTTCATGGAATTTGAGCTTCAGAGTGGGGGGTTCATTTTTTTGTATCTCGCTTAGAAATTGACGTTTCCTATTAAAAGTGTCCAAATTGGCCCACCTCGTACAGGGTGTCCACATTTATAGGCTCAAATTTCAATAAGTAATATTAGGGATTTTTTTAGAAAAAATCTGATAGCAGATTCTTGTTTAGGATGGTCTTAAACCTGAAACCCAAATGTATTAATTTTTGATTCAATACGATACAGGGTGATGACAACAACTTGATGAATCAAACCGCAAAAATGTTATATTTTGAGACAAGCTCCAAATTGGCCCACCCTGTACAGGGTGGCCCATTTTCGATGTTTTAATAGGCTATATCGAAAACCAGCAGAGATATCAAAAATCTGGGAGCACATTCTCGAGCTCTTTTTTTGAGAAAATAATAATGGCGAAGACAAATCACGGCTAACTTGCTTGATGCGTTTAGGAAATACAGGGCACTTTTCAAATTTTGCACAATTTTAGAAGACCTTCTAATTTCTTTATTAATCAAGATATCCAAAAACGGAAAATACTTTCTATAGGCAGTTTTTCAAGGAGAATCCAGTGGCATAACCAATTTTTCTCCAGATGCCTCTGGTTTTGGAATATTGACCAAAGTTGTGTTTTTTTAAATGGGACACTCCGTATATTATTTTTTCATTGAATAGCTCTTTGTGAGCTGATTTCAATGATATAAGGTTTTATACCTTTACCTTCTATAGTTTTGGAGAAAAAAAAATAATTCCGTTTTTCCATAAGAAACAATGAGCTAGAGAAGGATAAGTCATTAAATAAATTATGTGTTGGCTATTTATCAACCCCGATTCATAGTTCAACTATGTCTTTCTGACTCATTGTTTCTTATGGAAAAAACGGAATTTATTTTTTTTCTCCAAAACTATTGAAGGTAAAGGTATAAAAGCTTATATCATTGAAATCAGCTCACAAAGAGCTATTCAATGAAAAAATAATATACGGGGTCTCCTATTTAAAAAAACCCAACTTTGGTCAATATTCCAAAATCGGTGGGATCTGGAAAAAACTTGGTCATACCGCTGGATTCTACTTGAAAAAGTGGCTATAGAAAGTATTTTTCGTTTTTGGATATCTTGAATATTAAGGAAATTAGAGAGTCTTTCAAAATTGGACAAAATTTGAAAAATGCCCTGTATTTTCTAAACGCATCAAGTTAGTCGTGATTTGTCTTTGCCATTGTTATTGTCCCAAAAAAAGAGCTCGAGAATGTGCTCCCAGATTTTTGATATCTCTGCTGGTTTTTGATATAGCCCATTAAAACATCGAAAATGGGCCACCCTGTACACCAGCACAGCCGCAGAAATCAAATCATTAGCCTAATAAGTGACAAATTTGAGTAGATATAAAACAAAACAAAAAAATGAATTAAATCGGACAAAAAATAAAAGTTTTAGAAGGGTAGTCATTCAGACACACTATAGAAAGAATTCCAACACAATCAATTTGAGCTCATGAGCAGATTATTGCGTGTGAGGGCAGTATAACTACACTCATGAATATTCAAGGTCAGTCAACACTAGGGTTTCCATAAAGGTTTTTCGAAATTCAGGACAAAGGAGTCAAGAAATCCGGACAAAATCCGGACTTCGCCGAAATAGCTATTTATGCAACAAGTGTGTAAAGTGAAATACAAGTGCGACAAAATTCACATTCGTGAAAAAAGGTTCACTTTACACACGCATTGCATATACGAAAAAATTTTACTACCTAGGTACCTATAAAATATGTACCTATATTATGTAAAAAAAAAATTTAGACAAATACTTTATGTACTAGTACGTAAATCGTGAAGTGAAGTAATTTACTAGAAAAAAATTACAGTGCCGACATCTGTTATTGACATTACTTCACGCACTAATGTGTAAAGTGAATTACCTTACGTAATAATGCGTGAAGTAAAATTTTAAGTTTTTGAATAGTGCGTAATCTGAGTGAATACGAGTGTTTTCACGATCTCCAAGTTTTCCGGACATTGTTCCAAATTCCGGCCGGACTTCCCCGGACACCCTAAAAACCCAAACATGTCTGGGTTAATCCGGACGTATGGAAACCCTAGTCAACACTCACCAAGACCTGTTTAAATCAATTGACTATTCAAGATTCACCTAAAAAATCACTCAGCAAATTGTGAATTCATTGGAAGTAACTTGATAGTGAGCCAACAACCAACAATGAATAAAATCGAGAATAAGAACTATTGTCATTCAACTCTTCAATGAACCCTTCGGTAGGTTAGATGATAAATCAATTTAAAAAACTTTGAAAAATAATAAAATCACTTGGCAAAATATACAAGGAGCAAATTATTGGGTTCTCCAGAATCGTTTCTGACCAATTAGTCAAAAATTATAAAAAAAGAGTCAAGTCAGTAGGAACTGCTAGAAACAAAGAAATCAAGTTTACAAGAAGTAGCTTCTTAAAAAAGTTTAGCAACTAATTCAGCTCATTAACAATATAATTTGTGAATTATTAAGGAATCAGTAAGTTTTAGCAAAGCTTCTGAAGTGAATCTATATAAGGATTCAAGGATCTTGAATTTGGAGGATTTCAATAAAATGGTATATTATAATTATTAAACCATTTTAGTATTCGGACTCCTTGGGAGCCCACCTATTATCTACTATTCAGCCCAACCACAAGGAGATTGTTTAGAAAAAAAGTTGGACCTCCAGATGCAACTGGGTGGGAGACCAGGCAGTCTGATTAATTGACAATTTAAGCATAAAATAAATAATCAAATGATGAATACCTAATTATTTTTGAAAGCAATAAAATCACTCCATTTGAATTTTGGAAGTAAATCATAAAAGTTCAAGAGACAAGTTAGACACATTAGGTAAGAAATTATTGCAAATATAATAAATTCATCAAGTAAATGTAATGGAAACAGCTGGGTCACTGCTTCGTAAAATAAAATTTGTTAGTCAACTCTTTGATATCCACTCAATGAACCCTTGTGCAGATTCATTAATGAACCAAGTGAAACATCATTGAAAATCACGCAGTAAAATATTAAGATCAAATCATAGATTTCCGAAGAGATATTTCAGACAGATTTATCAACAATTATTGAAAAAGTCAGCACAGCGAACTATTAAAAGCAAGAAATTGAGTGTTGGTTCATTAAAAAATTTATAAAATCAGTCTGTACACTCATTGAAATTAAGTTGGCACGTGAAAGAGCTACATTGCGAATAACAAAACCCAAAAGTGAATAATTAAATGCCTTAAGTGCCTACGTACTGATTGGATCGACAAGTTAATTAGACAATTTGAGTAAAAAATTGATTAAACATTGACTAAAATAAATGGAAATTATTAAAGGAACAAGTTCTTGGAAAACAACGAACGTGAGCCCACAACCTGAATAGGTTCTTGAATTAGGTGAATTTCAGTAAAATAGTAGTTAGTAATTGAACTATGTATTTGAAAATTTTGAAGCAAAAATGTGAGTAAGACTAAAGCTGGATTTATAGTGTCAGTGTCAGTAACAGTAAAATATTAAAACACGGCCTACCGTAAAGCCATTTATAATTCACTTAACAAACTTAACAGTAAAACTTAAGAAATGGTTATTTTCATATCTGTTCTTAAGTTTTAAGTTTTACTGTTACTGATACTGACACTAAATCCAGCTTTAAGACTACAAAAAAAAGTTATGTTGGGAAACTGGAGACCCTTAAGACCCAGACTGATGAATAGACAATCTGCGTAAAAACTTGATGAAATAAATGAAAAATGAATAAAATTAGTTGTTAATCTTTTTGAAAGGATCTTTATTGAGGCTACAGCATACTTACAAGGCGGATTCATAGAAAATTCGAGAAAAAATGTGACTAAGGACTCAAGAGTCATTCCATGGATAATAAAGGTCAAGAATTAAATAAATAATCAATTAAATCAGTACTTAGTTGCAGTTAACTATGGATTCGAGTTCAAATACCAATTTGAAAAAGGAAATTCTAGAAAAGTCTTTGTCCATAAAGAAGAATAAAGACATTCTAGAATTTTAAAGAAGGGGTGGCGTCACCGGCGCCTCGTGGCGTGAAAAAAAGTTAGCATTGGTGTATGAAAATGTGAACAAAAATTACAATAACAATAATGAATTCACTGGCAAATAATTGACTCTCTTTTAAATAAGAGGGCAACAATTGTGGCCTTTTTGACATAAGGGAGTATTATTTGCCAGCAAATCCAGGTAAATGTGTCAAAATAAGTCACCCAAAAACCCAAAAAAAAAAACAAAACAGAGCAAAATACATACCTTAACTATTTAATTCTTCAATAAAACTCAAAAAACCACAAGTTTTGGTTGAATAGCTTGGAAAATTCGCTTTGAAAATACCACAAGGGCTTTCACGCTCGTGCACACGCTTCAACTTCGTTTTAAAATCTGACGGCGTTGTTCGTTTGTCAGCTGGTTTATATAGCAACCGGCGATCGTGACAATTCGAGAATTCAGTGGAACGTTTTCCACGCTCGATAAACGCATTCGGCGCCATATATTTCCGGAAAGTTCGGCGCGGGTTTTAAAATTAAACGTTTGTTTATCGTTATTTAGGGTAAGAATTTCTAGAATGAATTTGAATTTTCATTTTATCGATATTCAAAACGACGCAAGATTTTTTGCTTATTTTTCCGTTATAACTGTAGAAATTAGCAGTTTGAACATGGAAAACTTAACTCCGAGTAGGTTTGTCAAAATTTAAAATAAATAATATTAGTGTATTGTGAGAAAACAGGCTACAAGAGCTAGTTTACATTATTAAATATTAATTTCATGTTTAATTAGTAATCAAGGTAGGTCAGGTAGGTAGGTACTAATATTTTAGCATTTTTAGAAATGTATTTAAAACTTTTAATAGTAATTTTTGTCACAAGTACCTAAAATAAAGTTTTTCAGGACGAATCATTGCTGTTTCCAGACGAGGCGTCAGCCGAGTCCGGAATAGCAGATAGGTGCACCTAGAAAGAAAAAAAAAATCCTAAAAAGAAGCATTTTATGGACTCGAATGAGTCCGTAAAATAGCTATTTTTAGGAGCGTATGACAAAAAATTGTTTTCGCTCTTAATCCCATCTTTTTTTTGATATCTTTTTGGGAAAGCACAATAATTTTTCTGTTTTCAACGGTCATAGCTGTGGTCATACTACATTCTAATGCCTTTTGTCATTTTACAATAAATAAATCAAGTTCATAAATCATAATCAAATCAATATGGAATTGGTATAAAATCTAGAAAATTCAATAAACACATCCATTCAATTCTGTAATAATTCTGCACTATTCTAGAAATTTCAACAAATCATCAAAGCCAATACATAGCTCAAGCTCGGGGGTTACCCACTAGATGGCACTAGACATTTTTTAACCGGGAGTGCGTTCGAAATCGCCTTAGTCGTGACACAGAGTACACACCAGCCATGAATTATTCATGGCTGGTGTGCACTCGGTGTGACGCCCAGGGTGATTTCGAACGCACTCCAGTGGTGGCGCTTGTCAGAGCTGAGCCGCTTTCCAGAGCCGCTTTCCAGTATGCACATTGGCGCGCTCTAGAGCACCTCAGGGGCGCCACGCACTAAATTTGTACCGTTCTAGTATCATGGCGTGAGGCGCCTGTCTTAGTGTCAAAAATGTCAAATTTTAAAAATAATTATCTGTTTGTGCAGTTTGTTTTTTTATTTATCAAAAATGAAAGAGAATCAAAACTATATATTTTAAAATGTTCAATCTTGAGATAATAACAAGAAATAAATAGATAAATAGCCACCGGCGGATGTGACAGCTGATAGGTTGACGAGTACGTACAGCTCGGGGGCTCAACGCCCCGAGTAGCTCCGGGCGTCACACTCCCATACTGGAAAGCGGCTCTGCTTTCCAGTAGTTGTATTCCTTTCAAGAGTTTGAAACACTAGAGCTACTCGCTGCGGTGTTAGTCGACCCCGATTTGAAAGGAACAGATGCGCTGGCTTTCGTGCATTTAAATGGTTTAAATCCAGGGCCGTGCTAAGCACGCGCGGGCCCCAGTACAACTATTCCAACGGGCCCCCTTAAAGGGGGCCCCAAACTTTTTTGAGTGTCACGATTCACGAATGCCCAAATTATTAACCAAAAGCCGTTAAAAAAAATGCCTCGGGTATAATTTTTTTAGGTATTTTTGAAGTGAAACCTCTGTGTTTCACAAAAATTCCGATCGCGTGAGGACCGTAAGGAAAGTATGAATCGCGCATCAGCAGCGACCGTAGTACTCTTGTCGCTTGATTGAGAGAGATACATTACGTGCCGGTACTTTTGTTCTCAGTTTTCAAATTTGACAAACGTTAAAATTAATCAGGGGTTTGAATGTACTCTTTACCACATCATACAGATTATGATACAGATTACAGATCTTGTCCCATGCAAAATCTTGTTAAATTCAATGAAGTGTCAAATTCGTTATCAAGATCAAAAGTATCGGCCCTACATGACTCAAAATTCTAATTAAATTTAATCTCCGGTTAAATTTAGAGTTGGTGTTAAATGATGGTTTATGAATGTAACGGTTCACCGGTTTGCTCTTAAATTAAATGTCTATAGGTTTTACGCCACTGTAGGTTTTACAGCCTGTCAAATCAAAAATAGCATATTATTCAAAGAGCGGGTAATGATGGCTGTTACTCACGATAATGATGAAGTTTGTACTACGAGCCGCAGGCGAGTAGTGTAATCACTTACTCGGATAATTACACTACTTACCTGCGGCTCGTAGTGCAAACTTCATCCTTCGTGAGTAATAGCCATTGCCTACGAGTTGAATACTATATACTTTTTCTATGATTAATAGAAAATATGCACGAGTTAAGGCCGGGACACATCTATCATACATTCTTCCGATCCGACTCCGATCATACAATCAGGGTCCTTATTCTTGGAACAGGGGAGCAGCGGAACACCCGCTCTCCTGGGAACGCTGCTTCCTGTTCCAAGAATAAGGACCCTGATTGTATGATCGGAGTCGGATCGGAAGAATGCATGATAGATGTGTCCCGAGCTTAATGCGATTTTTTATTTAATTTTCGTAACAAAATTAATTGACAATTCTGATAGCTGTATATTGTATATTTCGCATATTACTCATAGAAAAAAGTTAATTTTCAACTGATGTCAATATTTCCATTTTCCAAAACAGATGATAGGGTATGTGGGGTATATCACATGAAATCTGCTCAGAATTTTACATAGAATCCGAATATTGAATAAAATATAGGGTATTCCATTCGAATAAAGGAAGTTGGACCATGACCAGCTTTTGCGGAACACTGTGGGTATACATATGCGAAAGTGAGTTGAAAAAAAAAATAGTTTCAACCATAAAACTTTTCTTTCGAGATAACGGGCCGGGCCCCTACGGAACCCGGGCCCCGGTAATTTGTACCGGCCGCACCCCCCTATGCACGGCCCTGTTTAAATCGGGCTTTGGCGCTTGTGCAACAAACACTTTTCGGAGCTCCTCCTAGGTGTGAAAGAAATACAACTAATATGCACGTTGGCGCGCTCTCTAGAGCACCTCGGGGGCGCCACGCACTAGATTTGTAACGTTCCAGTATCATGGCGTGAGACGCCTGTCTTAGTGTCAAATATGTCAAATTTTAAAAATAATTTTCCTGTTTGTGTGTGCAGCTTAGAGCAGGTAAAGGTAAAGAGGAGTAGTAACCTGGATTTGGAAAATGAAGCCGTTTTTTTCCAGGTATTTTGGCACCAAGAAAATGGCGCTTATGGCAATTCAATGCTTTACCTGTATCTTGGTGCCAAACACAGAATGGCGCGTTCCTACTCCTTATGTCCGTAGGACAGCGTTTTCCTGCTCTAATGGGTAGTTGCACCAACAATTTCTGATCTTGGTTTAACATTAATCTTGGTTTAAATCAAAGAAATCCATTGCACCGTTTCTTGAACAAAGTTTAATTTGATTTGAACTTGGTTCAACTTAAACGGTCATGTTTGATGGTTTAAAGCTGCGGTTCCCAACCGGTGGGTCGCGACCCCTAAGGGGGTCGCATAGGGTTTTTGGAGGGGTCGCAATGCCAATATTAATCTACAGGGTGGTCCATTTAGCCTGAGACAGTCTAATATAATAAAAAAAAAGTTCAAATAAAAGTTGAAAGAGTCAAAAATCATTGCTATCATTTTCTTTTCCCCGTGACACCATAAGCTTCTATTTGGACATTTTTTTTTTTCAAAAACGCGTCATTTTCGAGATAGACTATCTCAAGTTAAATGGACCACCGTGTATATTTTTCTGCATTTGGCAACACGCCTAGGCCTTCGCGCGGCGTTGCATGGGCGCTAGGCGCTGCAGTAATAAGGAAACCGTTACAAGCCTCGTTAGATGTTGCCGACGTTCCTGATGAAGTGCAGAATAAATTTTTAGAGCTGAGGAATAATTCCACAGCACCCGCCCTATTTCAGGAGAAATTCTTGAGTTGATTTTGATGTGCCATGTATAGTTCATATTCTTATGTCGACTTGCTTGAGCTTTCTTCTCGGATAAATACCATTTGCCTCTACCTACCTTCGTGAAAGTGGGGGTTTCAACCCTTTTGCAAAGTAGAACAAAGGCCAGAAATAGACTGGACATGATGACATAAGATTGGCTTTAACAAAAACTCAACTAAGAATTTCGAGACTTGTTACGGAGATGCAAGCTCAGTCATCACATTAATAAATATTCACTTTTTGTATTTAGTTACGAAATATTAATATTTTGGTTCAAGATTTCTCGAATAAATGAAATTTTGTTTTTTATTTATTAATGGGTAGGGGGGTCGCGACTTTATGAACAAATCTGTAGAAGGGTCGTGACTAAAAAAAGGTTGGGAACCACTGGTTTAAAGGGAAGTTTTACTAATTGAATGCGTAGAAAGGAAATTCGCAAAGTGAAATGACATGCCGTCTGTCGTTGTTTACGGCATATGTTCATGTTGTGAGAATTTCATTATTTATTATTATGTAGGTAGATATTTGATTTTTAAATTCAATAATCAATCTCGATCGAAATATCTGTGCAAAATAGAATATACGGCAATGAAAAACAAGACACTTGGAAGGAAATAATACAGAAGTATAAAGTATAACAGTGCAGGGCCTTCTTGTCCAAGAGCTGTAGAATGTTTGAAACTTTGCTAGCTACGAAAATAGAGAAAACTATAGAGAGAATCAGTTTTTTTTTTTTTTTTTCAATAATGATCTTGTATTTTGCCATAATATTAATTAGTATAGTAGGAGAGCTTTATCGTTGTTGGTAAAATTGGCTCATCTCTGTTTCACTTGTGCTATTAGTGGATCTATTTTTTCAAATGAAGCGAATTAGCAGAAAAAAACTACAAAATACAAAGGGTTCAGTCACTGCTTCGATTCGGAAAAACTTACAAAAAATAATTCGCTTTCTAGGTTATATTTTCTATTTTTGCTTTCACATTTGACAAATTTTCAACATGTTTGCCAACCTAAACGTAAAAAATCCTATAAATTACTAGTTTAATCAAACCGAGCTTAGTTGTGTGCCATGCAACGTCAGGTCGAATGATCGAGGTTTATTTTTGAATCCCAGTTTTATTAAGCTTAGATTAATGGAATCTTGGTGCAACTAGCCATAAGGTGTGCAGCAATGAACTATAACCAAAAACTGGAATGCTAAAGCCTAGTACTCATAACTGCGAAATTCGCATTTTTTTGACATTGTGTTGACAATTTGACGTTTGATACACGCATAAAACGTCAAATTGTCAACGCAATGTCAAAAAAATGCGAATTTCGCAGTTATGAGTACTAGGCTTTACACATAAGGACGAACGTGAAGCCTAGTGCGGCTGCTGCGGTCGCTGCGGAGGGGATACCTGTTTTTGTCGCACTCATTATGTTAAATGGCGAAAATTGCTTCCAACACGTATTCCAATTGATGAAACCTGTGAAGGGAAATATGACAAAACTTTCCAAAACGTCATATGTCAGCGAGCAACAGAAAAAAACAACATTCCCCCTTGTGGCATCTGTCTTTCATGGCTACATTTTTTTGGCAGATATGGCAATGTGTGCGCATTCCAGTTTTTGACTATAGTTCATTGGTGTGCAGTTTGTTTTTTTATTTATCAAAAACAGTGTTGTCGAAGCTACCGAAATTTCGGTATTTCTACCGAAATACCGAATGCTGATGAATTTTACCGATTTTCGACAATAATCATAGGTTCGTTCCAACCCCCCGTTTTCGTATCGTCATGAAACGGTTTCGGAACTGTTAGGATCGATTGCAGGCGCATGCGTTGACCTTGCACGGTTTTATCTTGGTACAGAAACAACGGGTAGTTGGAACGGTTTCATGATCGTTTTCGTAATGACGACAGTTCAAATAACTTTAACCCTAAATTTGTTTGTTTGCAAATTAAAATAGAAGAATATAGGATTAGGATTACAAAATAATATATAAAAAAGGAAAATTGGAACACCAACGCTGATTCATTATCAAGAATCTGAAACTGAATCCTTGCAAGCTGATAACATCAAGGATTAGCAAATAGCTGATAATAAATTTTGTACTTTTTTTCACTTGAAAAAATAAAAATGCTACAGTCTTATAAGTTAGATTGGAAATTGGTTGTTTAACAACAACATGAACAACAACAACAAGTGACAAAAATTGAATTACGCATGTCAGTCATGAATCAGTCCACGCGGTTCTTGCTTTCCACTCGGGATCGAAATGACGGTGCTAAAACCAGTTCTTGAACGATCCCAGGTTTGGTTGGAACGCCAACGAAACTGTACGGTAAACGATCATCTCTCGGTTGGAACGCCTTTAACCTATGGCGCATGACCGTGACCGTACATTGAACGGTTTTTGGCTGGGTTGGAACGAACCTCATGATTCTACCGATTTTTTCATCATTTTTCACCAAAAAATCGACAAAAATGATTTCTTCATCGATTTTT